ACAAAACACAGTTACGCCATAAGGAAGATGTGTCAGGAGGACGATAAAGTGGGGGAGAGGATGTATACAATAAAAGGTAAAAGTAAGAAATAAGAAAAGAGGCTAAATCATACAAATTGATCAAATCACAGAGCAACAGTCTGAAATGGCTTCACGCAATAAAACAAGCACTCAAGACTTCCTCAGTCTTAAAAACACCTGCCTCTATCTTTTACGTGACACGCGCGCGCACATATCCGACCTCCAGAGAACTTTTGCGCACTACACTCAGGTACACCAGTGAAGCAGTTAATGAAAGGTAGTCAGACTGACAATATTCTGCGAGCATGCGAGGGAGAGACGTTGTAGCAGGCCAAACAAAAACACAGCCAGTTTTCCCCCCCCGCTTTTTTGGGTTACAGAGGCTGGAACATGTGTGAGCTGCTGTGAAACTACAAGCACCCAGTGGCTTTGACATGGCAGAAAATATCCCAGCACCGGTGACACGGACAAGGGCCTCGGCTTTGCATGCTTCTTTCTGGCTTTGCTGCAAACATGCATTGTAAATACTGAGTCTACAAGCACTCGTGCTACTGCAGCTGCAGAAAGAGAGAGGGAGTGAGAAAGGGAGGGAGATGGAGAGAAACAAACATACATTTTTCCCTCAGCTGTGAGGCCACAAGGCTTTAAAACTCTTGAGCTTTTTAGATGCGATGAGCGTTATTGCCGGTTGTGGTAGTCACGCCGATCAGCTTCACAAGACACCATAATGAGTCAATATATGTAAATCTTTACTAGGCAAACACGGCGGGAAACAAAGGCATTTAACTGGTGCTCTCGCCCGCAAGCCTCCAACGATTCAGCACCGGTAATTTCTCCCCATTGAAAGGCATAATTGCCTGCTATTTGAAGATATTCATGCTCAATTTTTGAAATTAATTTCAATTGGGGGGAAATGTAGAAATGTCAGCTCCAGTGAAAGGGATTTGATTTCAATTATCCTCGCTCAAAGGACTGTGATTTCCAAATACACTTAAGCAAAATTATGACAAGAATTTTTGTTCGGCAAAATTCAGTGTTTAAAGAGCGATTAGGCGATAATGGGGCAGCTTTGAGCCGGCAGTGAATGCAGCCGTCTCCCTCTGAAAGGCACTCAATTATCTCTGATTGCTCCCGCTATAATGTATCAAATAGAGATACCTGCTATTGCCGTAATTTGTGTGAAAATTAACATGCTGCAATTTCCACTAGAGGGAAAAAGGGAGCTCTAATGGGCGCCTGAGCGTACATCAATAAAACGAGGGGAGAAAAAGAGAGAGAGAGGGAGAGAGAGAGAGACAGAAAGGGAGGGCGAGAGGAGGAGAGAAAGAGAGCGAGCCAAGAGAAGAGAGAATAAGTGTAGGAGCTAAGGAGGGAGGGAGGGGAGGGAAAGAAAATGAAAAGAAAGGAACAGGGAAAGAAAGCAGTGAATAAAGAGGTGGGGGGAGGAGGGGGGAGGAAAAGTCAGGACAGATTTGAGACAGGGTGAGAAAAAAAATAGCCTATTTGAGTTAAGCACTGCAGAGGGAGCGAGAGGAGAGAGGGAGAGATGAAGAGAGGAAGAGAAAGAAATTTAATTTACTGAAAATATTACAAATTGCACCTGTGCATAACTCCCCCAAATTACCAACCAATCAAGGCAGAGTGCCTATTACTCTCCCATTACATGGAGATCAGATCACGCTCTGAATCTGTGTCCAGAGAGAGGGGGAGAGGGAGTGAGAGAAGGAGGGAGAAGAAGGAAGAGGCAGAGTGAGAGAGAGATGGAGGAAGGAGAAGAGAGAAGAGGCAGCCCCACAGTGACAGTAAATGTACCATGATGCAGAGAGAGAGACACGGGAACAAGGAGTCACAAACAAGATACTCCGTTTACGGAAGCTCTGGCACACACAAAAACTGCCTTTGGTGCAGCGTACACAAAAGTAGAACCACTAATCGTCTTTGTGGCTGTTGCATATTTGAGACCGATAAACTATGATGATGCTGGCAGACGAAAAGCAAGAAGGGAATGTGTCCAGAGTGATAAAGCAGGCAGGACGCACATGAATCTGATGGACGTTTCAAAAAGAATCAGAACTTTAATGCATTTAAAAAAGAAAAAAAGAAAAAAGGAGACCACCTCTCAGTGGAAATTGGCTAATTTCTCGTCTTCTTCATTGCTAGCGTGAGCGGTCCACACCAGCTCAAACAGCCATGAATGGTCTCTTGAATACTTTGCATAATTAGCAGCAATTAAAAACGTAAGCTGCTGGACTGTTAATCTCTGTGCACTGGCTCGATTCAGACAACAGTGCTGAAAAGTCAAAGTTAGCCTACTACGAATCATGACTTATACTATTGCAGGAAAAAACAAAGGAAATCAGCAGCAATAATTCAAAATTAAATGTCTTGCTCAAAGGGTTTGCTATATAAGCCTTTGCTATATTGCTAAGTGGCAGCCCTTTGTGCTCACAAGGTATTTAAAGAGCTGTAATGTTGAAGCTAGCACACTAAAGGCCAATAAAGACTCAGTGATGTACTTGTGAAGGGATTCCGAGATGAATTCATAACATAATAAAAAGTATTTTTAATATTAGTCTAATGAATCTGTTTACTTACACACAAACAGAAAAACAGACTTTAAACTTTGCAGCGAAGCCATCTTTAAAGAGTGCTTCAACATCATGAAAACAGTCAAGTTTATTCCCATGTGTAATGTGTTATATTTCGACCAGACGTGGCATATTTCTGTCACACCTCCACTTGTCTAAAATGTTTGTGAGTGGGAAAACCAGGACACCACAGAAAAGGTGCCAAAATCACAGAAACAACTACACTGTAAAACAATTACTGCTCTAATATTTGCTGCATCATGTCTACCCCCTGTGTCACGTCTGTTTATTCCAGCCTCACACTGTAGCAGCAGTCGGTAGTGACACAGATGTGAGCCACAGAAAGAGTAAAAGCCAGCGTTTTGCACACAGCGCCTCCATCTAGGTTCAAATCCCTCAACAGACAACTAAAAACAATAGATCAGTTTCATGTCAGTGTCCAAAATTATTTGTTTGTTATTCACCTGCAATGTGTGGAAACGTCTACTGTCTTTTATTTCATTAACACAATAATGTAATCTGCCCTGCTTCTGATTTGCGGTTTGTTGCTTAGTTAGCCTTCAAATTACATGGCTGGTTAGAAAGGCCAATCAGAGTCAAAGCAGGGGTGGGTCTTTGCACATTACAGTCAGAGGAAAGAAATGCAGTACTGTTGAAAAGTCTTGAGTGATTTTTCTATCCAGCTATGCTTTTTATGGCATTGGTAGAGCGTTTGGGTCACTTAGATGCTGGAAAACGAAGCTGTTGCCAATCAGATGTTTTCCACATTGTGGATCCAAATCTGATGGTACTTTTCTGTATTCATAATTCCCCAAACCACAAAGCCTCCACCTTTGATGGTTGTAGACATTGTTGTATTCTTCTCCTGACCTTCTTCATATGGCTTGATTACGATTTGAATCACAAATTTCAAATGTGGGTTCATCACTCCATAAGACCTGTTGCCACTGATTTTCAGTTCAGCAATTGTGCAAAATCTCAGCCTTTTCTCCCCCTTTCCCTTCCTTAAGAATACAACAGATGGCTCAACTAAAGGGCCAGATACAGTACATCTGTCAGGTCTTTCCATGATTAATTCCTATTTCCAGCACAAAACTTTAAAATACTGTTTATCTTCTACATCATGGCTAGATTTGCCACATTTTCAGCTAAAGTGCCATTAGCACAGTGATTCTCAAAGTGCTAATGGCACTTTGAGAATCACATTATTGGTGTAAATATCTTTGTTCATGGGTTTAAGTAAAGAAATGGGAACAAGTTAGGTGTTTGTGCAACGCGATGCTTGTAATTAATGGCTTAAAAACAACTACTAATGATTCATAATGTTTCCTTAAGCTTTATAAAGAAAAAAAGTCTCTTGGGCAGCACAGACATGTAGTGATTAGCACTGTTGCCTTGCAGCAAGAAGCTCCTGGGTTCAAATCCACCATCTACCATCGTTGGGACCTTTCATGATCTCTCTGGGATACCCCAGCTTCCCACGGTCCAAACTAACTGGTTAACTGGTGATTCTAAATTGCCCATAAGTGTGACTGCAACAGTCCACCCACCCATGACCCTGAATAAGGGAAAATAAGGGAAAGAGAAAGGATGAATGGATGTACTGCACAAGGACAGGACTGAAAATACGTGCAAAAAACAGCCAATTTACAGAGGAAAAATAATCAGGAAATCTGGAGAACTATTCCTAAAGATCACTTTAAAAATGACAGTCGGGTTTCTTGGAAACGGAACAAAAATGGTTGTGGCTCATGACTTTTGCAAAAAACATTTGAGTCATGAAAAGGCAAAATGGTAAATGGACTGGTTTCTCTGGTTCTCATACGGCGCTTTTCTACTTTACCCAAGCACTCAAAGCGCTTTATACACATTCAAGCACGTTTCCCTATGCTTTTCTATCATTCACATAGATCCACATTCACTCTGATGGATGCAATGACGATGACGAAGTGGGTGGGCTTATTCAAAAATAAAAGACAACGTAATCTTAACACCTTGATTTCTCACTTTGCCATGTATTATCTCTTGTCTGAATATAACAGGAGTATTCGTATTGTACTTAAGAAGCTAAAAAAAACATTACTAAATGATGCTGCAAATTTTTACTCCTTGTTCTTAAAAGAAAATGTCAAGCCTGATCTCCACAGATGTTGTCTTACCCAATGTTTGAATTTGAAACTTTAAAATTTCGCTTTTAAATGTATGCAAAGCACCTTGCAAGCAGGGATGGGGAATTAAGAACAAGCTCCAGATGAGAACCTGTTCCAAATTGTCTGGTTCATTGGAAGCGTATAGCTCCAGGCTTATAAGTTCCTTTTAGCAATGCTGGCATCTTTTCCTGACAGTTGCACATTGCCAAACAAAGATTTTTATACACCTGAGTCACATGCAAATATTACTGAGCGATGAAACACTTGCACTGATGCTGAAAACCTGATGTTCTTCCCCACACAGAAAATCCTCACAGACCCGGTGGAGAATGCTTGCACTGGTATCAATAATATCCTCTGAGTATTCATCCTGACTTTTACACAAAACTGCTTACATCTGTCTTCATCATCAGCAACCCATGGATTTAGATAAAAAGGCCAAGTCTGTGGAGTCAAACCGTGAAGTAAAATGAAGACAGTCTGCAGTTTTTAAAGTAGAGAAAGGGTGCATGAACGAGCACAGAGAGTTAAATGTTTTATTCAGCCCACAGTTTAAAGTGCCACGGCCCTCAGGCACAGCAATGGCTGCCTAAGTGGCTACAGTGACAGCAGAAATTGGCCTTCTGGTTTACAACCTGTCGCCACAGACCCAGACACAGCAAAGCAGCCGGTGGGG